CCACAAACAGTTCCCAACCGAGATAGAGACATGCGCGTGCACATGAACACACACGGACTAATTACTCAAAGTTGATGTTTTGTTCAGATTTGGCGGCACATCAAGAGATATTAATTTCATGGTTTTTACTTCACACGTTACTTGTTTGCAAACAAAGAGACAGGTTTTCCCCCTTTCCTTCTAATTAAAAAAAAAAAAAAAAAAAAAACCACTTAGCAGGTTTTAAAGAAGTCTTTGAATTCCAGCAGGAAGAAACTACTAAAATGCAAGACAGGTCCAATTTGCAGATGTTGATACAACTTGGCATTTTTATATACCAAGTCTTGCGGACTGATGCAAATCAAATGCCTGGGAAATAGTTTCCGCTTACAAAGCTGGAAATTACCATTTAAATGAAAATGAACCAGGAAAATATCTCCAAAGAATTAGGAAATCAAAGATTTAAAAAATGCAAATTGGTGCACAGTCACACATTTATATGGGGCAGGAGAGTGGTTAAGTATGAGGGGACCACATTATGTTTAATTGAACCAAACCTCTTTTCAAAATCTGCAACCTTAAATATTTGGCCTGATTATCTTTAGATAAAATAGGGGAAATGTTAAGCATTCAGTTCACTCAATTATTAACTTGACAAACATTTATTGAGTGCCTACTGTTTGCCAGAAGGTGTGTTGGGCACCAGGGACACAAAGATAAATACAAGTACACCATCTTCGTAGAAAATTGAACTACATGGTACATACTTTGTTGGCGGTTCCAGGCGGGTACAAGAAAAGAAGCCACTCCTGACTTTTGTCCTGTTGCCTAGTCAATAACTTAATGTTCTAGCCTTGAGAAATGAGGTCAATTGGCATTTCTGTACATTTATAAATGTAACACATCTTCTGGAACAGATTAGCGAACTCCAGCAGTTTTCCAGATTTCCAAGTTAAAAACTCATTTTAAATTGAAAGGATAGATTTCTCACTTCCAATGTGGTGATTAACTTAATAATAGGAATTAGTCTCAATGCTTAAAATAGAAATGGGTCATCGATTTTAAAAAGGAATTTGTTTGTCCTAGAATGTGCCATTTGGTTCTAAAAAAAAAAACTGAAAACGGCAGAAAATATTTAAGCCCAGAAAGGTATTACATTATAATTTTTTTTCACTAAACACTCTGAAAACTCCTGAAGATTCCCCTTCCTATGTGTAACCACTGTCCGGGAGCAGCCGAGGCTGTATACCTGTTACAGAGATTTCAGGTGGATTTTCAGATCCAGATTGCTCTATCTTTTCCTTACCATGTGGCCTTGGCTAGTTACTTAACATCTCTGAACCGCATCTTTTTCCTGGGCTTACCTCAAAGGTCAACTGTGGATTAATGAGGATGCCTGTAAAACACTTAGCACCATGCCTGGCACACAGGAAGTGTTAACAAATGGCAGTTGTTCCAGGAAAGCACAAAATGAATAGGACCTATATGATGAATAGGACCTATAATAGGATTTATATGGCCTGCATTCTTGCTATTCCTGCACCTGAAAATCTTGTGCTGCACTATTTTGTCACCGCAGAAGCAAATACTGAGCAATCATATGCTCCAAGTTCTTTTCAAAAGAGATTTGTCAGTGTACAGATTGAAAATCATGTTCAAAATCAGAGATCAATTTCAAAACTGTGACTTCATCTTGGTTGGGAGGGGAAGTCATTTTATTATCTCTACCTCCCCTGGTGGGTTTCACCACACGAATACTCTGTAATTCCAAAAGAAGATTCTGCAGGTGCTTTTTGATTCTGGGGAGATGTGTGCAGACAATGTGATCAATTCTGCAAACCAAAAGTGCATAATGGAGCTACTGACCCAGTTCAAACAAGAGAGTTCAGAAATGACAACTCTATAATCAAATGATCTGTGTCCAATACTCAAGCCAGCCACCCACGCCTCTCAGAGGCAGATTATAGAGAGGGTTTCCTTGTCACATCTGGAATCTAATTGTTCACCAAAAACCTGACAGTTGCTATTGTTTGAAACCAGGACCCTCTTATTAAGAAAATAGGCAGGGAGCTGTCAATAGGATCCGGAGTGAACGCAACAGAAAACAGTGTTGTGTGTGCATGTGTACGTACACATGCTGCTCTTTATACAGTGGATATGTGCAGACGGAAACCAAGGGTCATAGCTCTACGTAGCCTACAACACCATATTTGGGCCATTTCTATAGCATATAACACATGCTGCTCTTGTTCCATGTTAAAGGAAAAAAGTACCATAAGGATGTATTGAAAAGTCCAATAAGAAGAAATTAGCTAATAAATAATAAAACTAGCAATAGTAACAACATGTGCTGATCACAGGGACAAATTTTAAAATACGCTCTCATTAAGTCTCCTCATGAGCACCATGGGAACTTCTCTTCCAGCCCCTCTTTACAGATAAGGAAAGGGATGCTAAAAGAAGGTAAGTAACTTGCTTAAGGACACAAAGCCAGTAAGCAGGGTAAGCCAGGAAGCCTGATCTGACTCCAGAAACAGCTCCACAACTGCATCAACCCATCTCCCAGAATTATAGCTATGACTACAAAAAGGGACACTGTGCAGCCATTAGAGCTAATTTTTTTAGAGTCTTTATAAGAAATTTTCCCTCAATATCACAGTTACATGGGGAAAAAAACACAGAAACTGCTTTCCTGAAAATTTCAACATTCAAACTTCCATAGAAGCAAATAAGTTTGTGTCCCTGTCCACAGCTGTTTTATCTCCACTGACCACCTTCAATGGCAGAGTAGTCACTCACACATATTCAAGTAGCAAGAGCAGTTGAAATTGGTTCAACAAACGATTAAGCCACTCACTTTGTGTATGAAAATCTATTCTATCTTTTTAAACTTCTTTAACTAACTTTACTGAATTGATATTCTCTTTTAGATAAAATTAGTTTCAAAGTGTTTTATTACATAGGGTCAACCTCAAGTCATTCCTACCACAATGATGAGTAGGACAACTTATTAAACATCTTTAAAAATAGATCCCTTAATAGTAACTGACCATTGTTGGCATATGCATCAATTACAACAGGATATGTTCCAAACATTAAGAAAAACAAAGTTAAATTTTATTATGTCATAACTCCATTTAAGCATGATTGTTATCTATGTAGCAAAAATTAATAAAACTGAGTGAAAGTAATTGTCTGTATTAAATACATTCATTGATGGAGTTTGGATGTGTTGTCCCCTCCAAAACTCATGTGGAAATTTGATCCCCAATGTGGCAGTGGTGGAAACTGATTGAGTCATGGGGGCAAATCACTTATGAATGGATTAATGCTCTCCCTGGGGGAGGGGGGATTAATGAGTGAGTTCTCACTCTATTAGTTCTGCGAGACCTGATTGTTTAAAGGACCCTGGCACCTCCTCTCTTTCTCTCTTGCTTCCTCTCACCAGGTGATCTGCTTGTACCCGCTGGCTGCCTGCCACTTTCCGCCATGAGTAGCAGCAGTCTGAGGCCCATGCCAGATGCAGCTGTCCCAGAATCATAAGCCAAGTAAACCTCTTTTCCTTATAAATTACCCAGTCTCAGGTATTTCTGTTATAGCAACACAAAACGGACTAAAATATTCATATTTTAGATTTTAAGACAATCTCAAAAATACCAGGCAGATTCAACAATCTTAAGACAGTTCTGTTCATACTGGTGTTAAATAACCTTCTACTTAAAAAAATAAAGATGGTCAATTTTCAATCAGCCAAGGCTTTCATTCGCAATTTAGTTGAAATTTGTGCTTTCCTATCTATCCTCAGTGGATACATCAGGTGGAATGCAAACTAATATTAATATTGTTCAAAATTGAATATAAAGCACTTAATCAGCCAAGGCTTTCATTCGCAATTTAGTTGAAATTTGTGCTTTCCTATCTATCCTCAGTGGATGCATCAGGTGGAATGCAAACTAATATTAATATTGTTCAAAATTGAATATAAAGCACTTAATTTATAGCAGGGAACATTACTCAATTCATTCCAACAGCAAAGAAAGAAAGAGTTTGGCATTATCTGCTAATGTAAATTACTCCTACACTATAATAGCTAGAGTAGTCAAGACTTGATTGACATTGATACATACACTCTCAGGGCACATATAAACACTACAACTGCTTCCCAATCCATTCACTATAATGACAAGGTCAATAACATGAGATCTGTGACTTAATAATGACATGGTCCTAAGACTTATTAACTATTCAATTAATCATTGGAATTATTTTATTCCAACTACTCCTATAACCATCTTTAGTCTTGTGAGTTTTTGTTTGTTTTATTTTGCTTTCCTGTATTACCCAAATAACCATCCACACTAAACAAATAAAGAAATGAGGCCAGACAGGTTACATGAAAGTTCTAAGGATATGCAAGCATCTCTTCAGTTTATTCCTAACCCTCAATTTACAAGAACTACCTATTGCCAATTTGCTAACTCTTGTTTCAATTTCAATTTGTGCAGACTTTTCCTTTGCAGACACATGTATTACAACTCTGTGTGGTATCTGCAGTCAGACACCCAGGTCATAAGACTGACCTTTCCTGGATAAGCTGGAATGAAAATCATAATTGGAGAAGTGTAAACTAAAGAAAGAGAGGAATTAAGCGATTCACTGGAGACAAAACCATGCAGGCAGGGCAAGTCATGCAGCACCAGCAGGCAGGGAGGATTTACCTAGTTCACTGTCCAGCTCCTCGGTGTGTACACCTTCTTCTCCAAAGGAATGGCAGGAATGAGACAGAAAAGAGAGAAAGAAAAATTCAGACACCAGCACCAAGAAGGAAACTCCCCTCAGAAAAATAGCAGCAAATATATCACTTTCTTTTGTCCTTACCTGCATTGTGGCTTATTTCACTGGCTTGGCTAGTAAACTTGTGACCTCAGTGTAAATCACAAAATGGTAAGAGCTGATATTGGCAAAATAATTATATGGCTCATTTCCTTGCATGTCAAAATAAGATTTCATTGGTTGTAAAAGATGACAAATACCTTTGCGGTTTCAGTGTTCTGAAGTGGGAAGTCACTCACTACAGACCTTATTTGGAGCAAACAAAGCTGTTAGACCTTTCCATATCAGTCCATTCAATCCTTCAATAATCCTCTAATCAGCAAGGCAATTACTCTCACAATTAAAGTATTACTTAACTTACAAATAATATCTCTGCTTGAAAACTGGAAGGTGAGGTCAAATTGAGAATGCAGATTGGATAATGAGCTATACTTCAATGTCATTCAAAAAGGAGCTGGAAAGATGAATTAAGTCATGACGATGTACATGAAGTAAGCGAGGCTTGAAGGCTGCCCTGAAGGAGCACTGGGAGGCAGAGTTTACTGATTTTGTGTTTATATGTACATAAGCTTTCTAAGTCAAATAGCTCATAAATATTAGAATGGAAATGTTCTCAATAATTTCAGTGAGCAAAACAAGTCAAAATCCTTTCCATCCTTGACCTCCTCTTGCTATCAGTAAAACACTTATTATTACTGAGAACACAGGACAGCACACAAAAATCATTTCATAATATAGTCTCCCCAGCTACAGAGCAGTTGGTTCCCCTTCCACTGTAAGCTCCATGAATACGGAGACCTCGTAAACCCTTAATTTAAAAACTATCCAATTGCCAGCAGTAAGTTTCGACTGGCACTGTTTCTCAACGGGAGCATCTGATTTACACAAAATGCCCATTTGGGTGTTATATAATGATGTCCGTGGAAGCATTTGTTCATTTATTCAGTAATCATTTATTGAGACTTACAATGTGCCAGTCACTGTGCTAGGTGACAGAGATACCAAAATGAGCACAACCAGACACATCTCCATCCTTTTAGAAGAGGAGGTAAGTCCAAAGCTCATATAAATAAAACTAAAATTAAAACTGTGATAAGTTCTCTTGAGTAAGATACATAATAGAATGACCTAATCATATCTGAGGACACAGTCATGAAAAAAGTCCCTGAGTTGTAATCTGAAGAACATGCAAAATTTAACAAAAAGACTTTGGGTGAAAAATGACTAGAATTTAAGCTCTATGAGAGCTGGGCTTTTTGTCTGTTGCATTGACTGAAATATCTGAAGTGGCTAGAATGCACTTGACATACAGAAGGTATTCAGTAACTAATTATGAAATGTAAGAGTAATCCAAGAAGAGAGAACTGCACATCTGTCACAGGGCAGGAACTCAATGCGGATGAGTGGGAGGAAGAGCAGAGAGCCAGAGAAGAGGGGCAAGAAGCTGGAGCTGAAACATGCAGGGCTTGGAGAAGCAGGCTAAGGACGCACGTGGACAAACACTGCATGATCTCACTCACATAGATTCTAAAGAAGCTGATCTCACAGAAGTCGAGAGTAGAACAGTGCCTACCAGAGGCTGGTGGGAGTCGGGGGTGAGGACAGGGAGAGATTGGTCAATGGGTACAAATTTACAGTTTGATAAGAGGAAAAAGATCTGGCGATCTATGGCACAGTACGGTGACTACGGTTAATAATATTGCATTGTATATTTCAAAATAGCTAGAAGAAAGGATTTTGAATGTTCTCACCACAAAGACATGATAAATGTATGAGGTAATGGATATGTTATTACCCTGATTTGACTATTACACAATGTATACATGTATTGAAATGTCACAAAGTACCCCACAAGCATGTACAATTATTATCTGTTAAAAACAAAATAAAAGAGAAAAAAAAGATTGTTCTAAGTGCAGTTGAAAAGGAGAGTGGGCAAGAGTCCATGTGGGAGACGAGTGTGGCCCAGCTAGAACAGTAGAGCTGGTGAAGAAAAGAATGAATGGACTCCAGAGATATTTAGAAAGCCAAGTGAATTCAGCTTGTTCATGGGTTAGACATGGGTGTGAAGAAAAGTGATAGATCAACGGGGACTCAAGTATGCATGAATTTACCCTCGATTGAGTAGCAAACACTTAGAGAGGATCAGATTTCAGGGGCAAAAATCATTAGTTTGTTTTAATCAGACAGAGTTTGAAGTCACTTTGAGACAGCCAGTTGGTGTTATCAACTAGGCAGATGAAAATACTGGCCTAGAGCTCAGAGGAAAGGTCGAAGGCTTCTAACTGAACAAGACACATAGCAGTGACAGAAAGAGTTATACACCAAAGACCAAAATCCCAAACTAAAGTTTCTCACTTTTTCCAAATAGGAAACAGAAAATATAAAGTCTTTACAATAATTAAGTATAATGTTACACTGTTACATCCCATGTGCATATGACCTACAGAGAGTCAAAGGAAATACAGAAACAGTTGTGATCAGTGACGTTTTCCTGCTTCATGTCATAATATAAACAATAACACAAAGCAGCTTTGTGTTAACTGGCAACAGAAAATGCAAACTTATACTTGTCATAATCTGGTTTTATATTTATACTGTTTGTGTGTACATGCAGAGAAATACATATAATTTCTACTAGAAATAGAAATAATAGGCATTTTAATGTTGATGGGATAATTACTAAATTAACTGCATTTAGTATGACTACATACTTGTTCCAAAGGAAATAACAATTAACATAAATGATAAGAATTCTAAGAATTAAAAATTACTAGATTTGGTAACAAAAACATTCACAAATTCTACTCAATACTTTTACTTCTCTAACAGATTTTCTCAGTAAAAGCTACCTCAGTCTTCTATCATCTATAAAATTATATTAACAGGCATTTTCATACATTCTCAGTATAAGTATAACAGATATTGACACTGAAGACCCTATGGTAATAAGAGTGCTTAAATTGCCTTCAAAATCATCAGCCCTCAAATAAAGACTAATTTTGCTCTGTGAGTTTTATGGTTGAATGTTTTATGTTCTGATCTTTGAAAACTGGTCACCTATGTATTATATATTAAACAGGACATTTGAATAATCAGGACAGTCCATTATCCCCTAAGCATGCAAAGTAACAGAGCTGACCACATCTGTTCTGTTCTTTCTTCAGGAATAAAACCAAGCAATCAAAATAAAGCAATGTCTCGGTCACACCTCCTAAGTCAGAAGAACTTGTATTTCCACTTGAAGTCACTCAGCTAAATATGAACACACAATTCCATGTTCATTTAAAGTAATCCGCAAGCCATGTATGATGGAAGAATTTTGGAGTACCAGGTTTCAACAGCATTATACTTTAAAATACTGACTTGCATTTTCAAATACACCCCATTTATACAAACAATTCTGCACTATCAGACAAATTAGTAAAGTTTGGTTATCTTCCAGCAAGTATGTATTCAGTAATTATACTACTAATTCAAATACCAGAACTGAATAACGAGTAGCAAACAAACCATTTCCCTTTTCTTCCGTCCACGTCAAAAAGTAATTTTGGTAGAACTTGGGATAGACTTCACAGTAGTGAGAAGGTACACACTTACTGTCTTGATATATTTTCTTCCTTTTTAGAGAAGTAATTAGAAACCCCGAATAAAGTTATTTTGTTGAAATAAATGTTTTCAACCAAAATTCTTACAAACAGCTAGTTCATTTCTGAGATTAATGCAGAGAGTGGCTCTAGGTGACATCTCAGCCTCTTTCTTGAAAGAATACACTTTTCAGGTACCTTGGGTGTACTTGAAGTTACAAAGAGATTCCCAAACATGTCAAGATCTGCTTCTCCTACTCCCAAGACTGGACAATAACAGTTATAAAATACGCTGAATTCAAGAAATGTTCCTGAGTTTTTCTAAGATTTTCATACCACAGAGTTAGGGGCCACTAAGTGACAGTGACTACAGCATCTTTGGTTTCTATATTTCTAGAGACTTCTTAAAGTCTTCTTCAAGTTCCAGAGAATCTATCTTCATTTGAGTAGTTTCTGACTGTGCTACAGTTCTAATTCTAATGTGTGCATCTGCCTTTATGTGTAAATAAATCATTCTTTTGAAACAATTCTACTGACTTTCCTTCTACTTTTGCAAACCACAGTGCATTTACTAGAAACTGGACTACCTTTTAAAAGTTCATCGTTAAAAACCAATTGACCTTGCTAAACTCTTTAAAATTTGTATATGTGAACAAGCCCCCAACTCACTTAATCCAAGACCTTTCTGGTCCCTTACCATCATCTTCACACTCTTCCAGAGGCTTTTGCTGCTTGTTCAGGCACCGAGGGTCTAACCAAGATGTTGTTTTTGTGTTATGGCTGCAATCCAGAAACAAAAACAAGAAATTTGTTTGAAAATGAAAAAAAGCAAAAAGCCCAATGACAGAATTATACACTCTTGAATATCTGTTTCCAAACAAAAGCAAAGATACTTTTCAACTGCAAACCCAAACCAGAAGAAAGCCTGAGTTTGGAATTATTAAAATACCGTGGGAAGGGTCTTAGGTAGGCTTTTTACCTAACTAAGATATAATCATTCAATTACTGAAAGCTTAAAATGTAATACCAATTTTATTCTTTGAAAGATAAGTTAGAAATGACACCTCTTGCCTATACTGTCTACCCTCGTCGTAGGCTTTTTACCTAACTAAGATATAATCATTCAATTACTGAAAGCTTAAAATGTAATACCTATTTTATTCTTTGAAAGGTAAGTTAGAAATGACACCTCTTGCCTATACTGTCTACCCTCGTCAAGACTTATTTTAGTCTTCACATTTGCCAAAGAGCAGACTCTAATTTATTTTAAATTTGTCTATGACTTAAATCTTGGATGCTGGAATTCACAAAGAAAGCTGCTATTTCACTCATTATATACATAAGAATTCTCATGACAGCGTGAAACTACCTCAATTCACACAAGTGGCTCCAAACTGCTAATACACATCATTAATCACAGTGTCCTAAATTATGCTTTAGACTTACTGAAGGCAACCCAAAATTATGTATCATAAATAGAACCTAGGCCAAGAAAA